TTTTTTTTTTTTTTTTCCAATCAGTCTTATGTTATTCTTCTTTGCATCGTCTAGCAGCTACTGGACCGATTTCTCATGGTCCCTTACTATTTTAAAGAAATTTTTTTTTCCTGGTCACTAACTGCAATCTTCTATATCTGAAATTCTGTCCTCACATTGGCTCATTCTGCTGCATAAACTTTCAATGGAGTTTTTAATCTCCTGAAAATCTGTTTGGATGTGTTTTATGGATTCCATCATGTTCCTCAGCTCCTCTATTTTTTTTTATCTGTGTTCATTCTAGATTTATTAAACATATCTTGCACTATGGGCACAATCTCTGCTGTTATCTAAGAAATTATTTCTGATTTCATTTTTTCCAGATCCTCTTTCATTGCCAGTTCAAGGAGTCCAGGTCATTGAGTATCAGATTGTTCCATCTCGTTTCCCTTTGGGGTTGCCTTAGGTGATCTGGAAATCTGGTGTTGAGGCTTGTTTACGTGTCTTCCCGTTTCAACAGATGCAGCCTGCTGTGCTTTTGTTGAGGCAACTTTTTGCTCACCCAGTGGTCTTGAATTCTCAGAAAGCCACAAAGCTGCCTTTTCTCTGCTGCTCACCAGTACACTAATTTCTCGGTTCAGAAAGGTGGCCTTCTGAAAAAAAAAAAGAAAGAAAAGAAAGGTGGCCTTCTGGATCCCTGAGCTCACCTGTTGTCTGGGTGAGCTTCTGGCTGGGGCCTGTGCACACTTGGGATGGTATCTAGGTGTGCCACTGGCTAGGTCTAGCTGTTGTCTGGAGGGCCTTTGGCTGGGGGCTGTGCACCCCAGTTCCTGTTGTGTGAACAAGCTTCTGGCTAGGGTCTCGTGCACTTACTGATGGTATTGGGGCAAACCTCTGGCTGTTGCTTGTGTGCCTGTGCAGCTCTTTTCCAGGCAGGCCCTTGGTTTGGGCCAATGTGCCCCAGCCTCTGGGGCGGGGTGGAGCCCTGGCTGGGCTCTGCTTGCAGCGGCGCTGCTCTGCTCCACTGCGCTGCTCTGCTCCACACCGCTGCTCCCCCAACAAAGGTGGCCTGGTGTGCCTTTATTGCAGAGATTTTCTTCACTTTTCTGGTGGGCTTCTACTCTATATTCTCAAGCTCAGAACAATGTCCTTTATGACCCCTGCAACTCTGTGGTGTGGATATAGGTAATGGCTTGGCACAGCCAGTGGGGGGGTGGGGGGCTGGGGGTGAGGTGCACTGGCGCCTGCATAGCTCACCTCCTTGGGGCTCTGGGGTGGTGGTATGGAGGTCTGAGAGGCTCACCTTGGCACTCTGGGAAGCATAAATGCTAGATTTTTAAAAAAATCTTTCCTTGTTAAAATATTAAATATGTTATAAAACTGAACAAGAAAAGTTTAAAAATCTAACCAAATGAAGGGACATCTAGATTCCTAAAGACTGAATTTTTTCCCCATTTTTTTAAAACTAATAGGTAATTACTAAAAATTTCTAAGTGGGCATGGTGGTCTATGCCTGTAATTCCAGCACTCTGGGAAGCTGAGCCAGGCTGATCACAAGTTGGAATCCTGCCTGGGCAAGTTAGCCAGACTCTATCTCAAAATTTAAAAACAATAAAAAATAAAAAGGGCTGTGGACGTAGTTCAGTGGTAGAGCACCCTTGGTGTGACCCTCAGTACCACAAAGAGAGAGGAGAGAGTGAGAAGAGACTATAATCCCAGCACTCTGGGAGGCTGAGACATGAGGATCACAAGTCCACGCCAAGCCCAACCTGTGCTACTTAGCAACCTAGCAAGACCCTGTCTCAAAATTAAGGGCTGTACTTGTGGCTCAGTCAAAAGCCCTAGATTCAATCCCCAATACCACCAAAAGGGGGAGGAGGAGCTGGAGATAAAAAGGGATGCAGCTCAATACAAAGGCCCTGGATTCAATCCTAACTACTGAAAAAGAAAAAGGTCTATGGCTCTCACTCCACTAAGTGTCTCGCCTTGTACGTATAGTTTTGTTTATTTGTTTGTTTGTTTGTTTTGATCCTAGGGATTGAACTCAAGACCTCGCACTTGTGAGGCAGGCGCAGTGCCACTGAGCTAAATCCTCGGCCCTGTATGCATGTTATTAATGCTAACCATAAGACTGCAGGTATTAGAGAGAAAGTTTGCTAATTTGACAAACTGAAATTGAACCAACAGGCTGGGGATGTAGCTCAGCAGCATAGCGCCTGCCTGTCAAGCACGAGGCCCTGAGTTCAATTCCTAGCAAACACACACAAAAATATTAAACCAACAATTTGAAAGGTATTGTTACAATTGTTGTCCTATTACATTTTCATTCATTTAACAAATTATTTGGGAGACTATTAGAGACAAGTTATTCCCAGATCAGAATAACCATTTTCAAAAAATATTTCTCCTCATTGGCATATAAAAGTCAATTTTTGAATTAATCTGTGTTTGATATGTATATATTCCTTTATTGTAGTAACAGACTAAACTTAAAACCTTCACAAAATTTTGAGAGTACAAGTACACAACACTAAAGCCAGGTATGGTGGCGGAGGCTTGTGATCTCAGCACTCTTGGAGTCTACAACATTCAAGACCAACATTTATTTGTGAATAGTTTAAGAAAACATGAGCAAGGATATATATTTGCTTGGACTAGCTGTGATTTTAGCAGAAACCCCCACAAGGTAGGAAATGCATTCAGATGCTTTCATTGGAGCAGGTCAAAAGCTGGTATTCAGTAGAACATTGCCCTTTTGAGCTGCTAGTCAAAAATTCAAGAGGAACCCCAACTAAGAATCACTGCCATAGATTGTTGATTCAGGAAATATCCAACTCTTTAGTGTTAGCTATTTTTGGTACAGGGATAGATTTGTATTGGGTGCTTCATTTAAAAAAAAAAATGCTTTTGTAGACTCCAAGCACTCAAACACCAGAAATGACTACAGCAAAAAAACAAACCAACAAACAAAAAACCCCCTGAAAAGATAGTGGAAGAGCATTCCAAGAGGCCCAGACAGAGTCATTTGGAGTGACTAAACATAATGGGAAAGCATTATGTATTCTGTGTAGTGAAAGTATTGTATGTCACACATCAAGTGTCAAATGACACTTTGATACCACCCACAAAAGTGTTGCTGAACTTGGTGAAACTGAAAGCAAAGAGTTTCTTGAAGGGAAATTGAGGAAATGTCATTCCCAGTCTTTTAGTTTTTGCAACTATTTAAAACACATCATCTGACAGCTGCTAGCTTTCAAATTTCACTGTGCATAGCAAAACATGGTAAGGCCCTCTCTGATCGGGGAGTTTATCAAAATGGCCATGTTGTCTGGGAGTAATTCCATTTTTCATGATTTCCCAAACAAGGATAAAATTATGCAATGCATCTCTGAGCTGCCACTTGGCAGAAATACTGTTAAAGATCGAGTCCTACACATGCCAAGTGCTGTTAGTTAGCAGCTCACCACTGACTTACAAAAGGCAGTCTGTTACTCCATGTGCTTGTATAAAAGCACAGATACAAATAATCATGCAAGGCTAGTAGTAGTTTTGTGTTATGCTGTTGGTGACATCATGAGAGAAGAGCTGGTGAAACTCGTGTATTTGCTGGAAAAACACAAGGAATAAATATCTACAATGCTGTGCCGGAGGCTTTTTGTCACAAGACATAAGACCAGAAAAAGTACTTTCAATCACTAGTGACAGGGCACCTTGCATGGTGGGGGCAACATCTGGTTTCATTCAGTACTTTGTTAAAAAAGCAAAACATCTAGTGATTCAGTTTTATTGTATTATACATCAAGAAGCTCTTTGTGCCAGGGAAAGCAGCAAAAAATCAGATGATCTCTTCAAAGATGTCACAAAAATGGTGAATTACATCATGGCTCATGCTCTTAATTTTTGACAGTTTCAAGCACTTCTTGATGAGGTTCAGGCATGGTATAATGCCTTACACATGTACAATAATGTCCAGTGGCAGAGCAGAGGATGAGTCCTGGTAACCTGCTTGGATGAAATTAGGCTGTGGATGGGCCAGGAATTTAGCTCAGTTGTTCCACTGCCTGCCTCACAAGCGCAAGGTCCTGAGTTTGATCCCCGGTACAAAATAAAAATAAAAATAAAAGTCACATAAGTGTTAGAATCAACATTTCTGTGAAACAAACAAGTTCAACAATAAACATTAAAAAAGAAAGAAAGAAATTAGGCTGTTTATGAATGAAAAAGGGTAGGAATATCCACAGCTCACTCATATGGCCTGGCTTAACAACCTCATGTTTTTTTTTACAGATTTTGCCTATATTTCAGTGTACTGAATAAAGAGCTGCAAGGTATAGGGAAAACAGCAGGAAGGATGTTTTGTAATATCAAAACATTTGAGAGAAAACTGCAGATTTTTGAAAGAGACCTTGAAAGTGGGCAGCTAAAATATTTTCCAAATCTAAAAATGCATTTTAAAAATTCTACACTTCCAGGGACCAGGGATTTAGCTCAGTGGTTCTGCCGCCTGCCTCCCAAGCACAAGGTCCCCAGTTCAATCCCCAGTACCAAAAAAAAAAAAAAATTCTACACTTGCAGAAAATCCTACAAGCCATCAGGAAATCTACAAGGAATTCCGTAGCATTGTAGCAGCTCCAAAGGAGAATTTTAGTAACAGATTTTTACAGCTCCATAAGATGGAGACAACTGCATTTTCTCACTTCTCCAGATAAAGCCAAATTTGAAGAATTTGATCTTTCCTGGTTATACTGGATAGATTTTGGAAATCTGGAAATGGAGCTATTGGAATTTCAAGAAAGCTATATTTGGAAAAATACATTCTGTGACCTACGTGCAACACTTGAGAAGACAGAATAGAGTGTGAAGGGATGGCAAAGTCAGCACAGTTGGTAGTTCTGAAAATGAAATCTTTAAAGTGGAATTCTCTGCCAAATAATTTTAAGTCAATGAAAGCACTTGGGATTGCTTTTCTTACTTTGTTTGGATCATCTTATGCTTATAAGCAGCTATTTGCAGCTTTGAATTATATCAAATCTGATACAAAAAACAGACTAACAGATGACCCGAGTGCTTCATGTGTTGTTCTCAAACTAACAAAGTCTGAGCCAAGATTTGACAAATTATCAGCATGCATACAACAGCAAAGATCATATTAATTGCGCAAAAGCACACCAATGCAAACTTTTGCCTTTCAATAAAAAGCTGTTTGTAATCATTGAAAGCTCTGTTATTGTATTTTTCTTTTAAGACAAAAGATGTTAATGTATTCAGGTTTAATTGCAGTGTTGGCACCTTGTGATAAATTAAGTGAGTTTCGGGTTGCCGTTTGGACATACAGTCTCTAAAAGGTTCACCATCCATTTTATCTCAAAAAGAGTGTTTCTCTCTCCTTCCAACTTCTTTGAAGACTTGTCAGGAAACGCTTGAGTAAATGAACACATTGAAAACAACAGATTTTATTTGTTTGTATCTGTTGATCATTGATTTGGCTTCCACACTTAGGCCTGCCCGCTTTTCTGACATGCAGAACCCACACTTGTGCTCCTTGGGGGAATGCCCTTTGCATTAGTCTCTGGGGGCTTGAACGTGTCTCACAACCCAGCTTGGACCTAGAGAATCTCCATCCTCTCCTATGCCATCACAGTGATTCATAGTTGAGGAATTATAAAAAAAGAGATTTCAACAGACTATGAGTCAGAAAAACATGATTTTTCAAAAAGAAAAGAAGCTATATTCATCATCTTGTACTCTGGCAAGCTTAGCATGAGTCTAGAATGCATTTCCATGGGTAATTTTCAAGTACTTAAGGACAAGACTTGATCACTGGGAGCCAACTTGAGTTTATCAAAAACAAGTTAAACCACACACTTTATTTCCATTTTAGATAAAATTGGTACATTGGGGGCTGGGGATTTAGCTCAGTGGTTCTGCCACCTGCCTTGCAAGCTCAAGGACCTGAGTTCGATCCCCAGTACCAAAAGAAAAAAAAGATTGGTACATTGGCAGCCAAGGAGAATGCTATATAAAGGAGGTAAAACACTGAACGCCTTGTGAACAAGATGGAAAACAGTGGACCAGATTATAAAATAATTAGATATTGCTTGGATGACTATGGCTCAAGAAAGCAGATAAATGGTCCCTGGGACCAAAGCCTTCAGCTACACTGCAAGTTCTATCATGAACTCTTTTTTTTTTTTTTTTTTACTGGGGATCAAACTCAGGAACTTGTGCTTATGAGGCAGGCACCAGAACACTAAGCTAACTCCCCAGTCCTAGAGCAATTATTTGAGGACCTTAAATGAGCAATTTTTTAAATACAGGACTATTTTATTATAAAACAGCCATAGCTTTTTTTTTGTTTTTTTTTTTTTGGTACTGGGGATCAAACTCAGGAACTTGTGCTTATGAGGCAGGCACCAGAACCACTGACCTAAATCCCCAGCCCATGAACTCTTTTATACTTAATATTTTCTTATTAGTCCTTTGGACAGAAACTTACATATAATTAAATTTGTAGATCACCTGTAATTGTTAAAGATTACCAATTTATTCATTGACACTAAAGATGTATTAGGTTCACCTAATTATAAAATTCAACATTTCAGTTAAAAATTAACAGTACAGAGATAGGGGTGTAGCTCGGTGATAGAGAATTTGCTTGCCTAGCATGCCTGAAGCCCCTGCAGTCAATCCCCAGCACAGGGGGAAAAAAAAAGCCAACAGTACCAGGATATTTCAGGTAAACATGTCCTTCAGCAGGACAGACAGGAATATTAGTAGACTATTATAATCTTGGGCTTCATTGATTAATTCAGTGCTTAAAACCAGATGAAGACTGGCTCTATCTATTCTTTATTAGACTGCATCATACTTTCAAAGAAATACTAATAAACCAAGACATCCACAGGCCAACCAGGATGATATGAGTTTGGAAGTATGGCCCATGAAATTCTAAAGAAATACTTTTGCCCACAGGAGAAAAGCCAAGAGCTGGGGTCAACATGCCTTCAGATGTCTGAAGGAAAGCTACGCGGCAGATACTAAACTTACTATTTGTAATGACAGGACAAAGCCTCAGGATCAGTTGTTCAAAAACTACATGTAGATAATATTTAGTTCAAGATAAGAGCTTTGCAGCCATTAGGATTGTGGGCAGCTTTGATGGGTGTGATAGACAGACTAGTAGGCCCCCAAAGGTATCCACATTTTAATCCCTGGAACCCCTGAATGTGTTACCTGACAGGACAAAAAGGACTCTGCCGAGATGATCGAGGATCTGAAAGCAGGAGATTATTCTGGATTATCCACATGGGTCCAGTACAACCAAAGGTCCTTGAAAGATGGAAGGAGGCAGAAGAATCAAAGGTCAGAGTCAAAGGAAAATGTAAAGATGCTGCCCGAGTTGGTTCTGTGCTGCTGGAACAACATATCACATACTGGCAATTTGTAAAGAATGGAAATGTATTTGTTCACAGTTCTGGGGGCTGGGAGTTCAAAATTGAGGGGCCAACATCAGATGAGTGTTCTTGCTCCATCATGCCATGGCAGAAGTGCAAAGCGAGGGCAAGAGGGCTGAACTCATCCTTTTATATAACACCTACTCCTTAGATAAGGAACCCACTCCAGTGATAAAGGCTTAATCCACTCATGAGGGTAGAGGCTAAGCAGCTCTTAAAGGTCCCAGGGGATTGAACCAAGAACCTTCATGCTGAGCTACAACCCCAGCCCTTTTTGTTTTTGATTTTGAGACAGGGTATCACTAAATCACTAGGTTGCTCAAGCTGAGCTTGAACTTGCCATCCTCCTGCCTCAGCCTCCTAGAGTGCTGGAATTAAAAACAAGAAGGAAAGGAGGTGCTGAGGATGTTGTTAGGTGTGAAGGCTTTGAGTTTAATCCCCAGTACTGGGGAAAAAAAACCCAAGAAGCCTCCAGAGAGAAAAAGTGCAAGGATTGAGAGTTTAGAATGCAAAGTCATTGCTCTTTTTCCTTGAAAGAGAAAAAACACAGCCAGACTACTTTTCTATAAACAGATCCAAAATTGAGCATAATTGGCCATAAAGAATTCTGATGAAAAGAATGCAGATGCTTTTTGGCAATAAACTACATGCATGCTTTTGAAGTCCAAAAGGGATAAAATTAAAGATTTTCCCCCCTTGAGTTGTATTTCTTTAAATTTTTATGTTCTTTTTTTTTTTTTTCTTTTGGTACTGGGGATCAAACTCGGGACCTTGCACTTGTGAGGCAGGCACAAGAACCACTGAGCTAAATCCCCAACCCTTCTTAAGTTCTTAACAAGAAAAATTAGATGAAACAATATTTGGGTATGATATGCATGTCTCTAGCCATCTTTTTAAAGACTAGACCCAGCCTACTGAAATGATAAATAATACATATGAATTAAAACTGGAGGAAGCCATGTACAGGAGCAGTTCAGAGTGTAAGCTCTGAAGTTAGCAGCCTGGCTAGACTCATAACTCTAATATTTATTGCATGAGTGAGCGAACTGGTTAACCTGCAGTGCCTCTGCAGATAGATTATCTACTTTGTAGGGTTGCGTGTAAAGATTACAAAAATAATACCAGCAAAATCCTTACAATGGTGATGGCACAGAAACAGCAAACTCTGCAACTACCAGATTAAAAAAGAACCAAGATGATGACAACTATGGAAAGCACTTGACCATTAACCCAAACACAGAGTTCAGGGCCAAGGTTTTAACTCAGTGGTGCTGCTGCCTGCCTCACAAGAACAAGGTCCTGAGTTCAAACCCCGGTACAAAAAAAAAAAAAAGGACAGATTTCAGTCACCAGGTGGCATGTGTCTGTATACAAGAATTAACCCAAAGACACTGTCTTAGTTACTTTTCTCTTCTTGCTGAGACAAAATACCCAACACCCAAAGTTAAAGGGGGCAAGATTTATTTGGCTTACAGTTCGTAGAGGTTTCAGTCCATAATTGGCTGGCTCCAAGGCAGGGTGGCAGAGGGGCAACAAATCAGGGCTGTGGAAGACAGAAAAAGGAACAAGAGAGTTTAACAGCTTCTTTCTGCCCCTTTTATCCAATCCAGACTACTGGGATCAGGGATTGGTGCCAAAACCAAACCAATCACTCACTACAGTGGTTTAGTAATCACACACCCTTAATTCCAGCATCATCCATTCCAGATTCAGCCACCTCTGAAAAAGAAAGCCCCACCTCATCTGCATGAACCTTTGAGGCGACATCTAAACACGAGCCATAACAGACACATTGGCTTTTTCCCATGGCAGCCTGACTCATCTTAGTCCATAATTCCTGACCTGGTAAGGCATCTTTTTTGTTCTCTTCATTCCTGACTCACTTTGGACCTGACGTGATGTCAACATTCTCCCTGGCATCAGTGACTGATTCAGAACACATTATAATAATCGCTCCTGCTTCCTACCCTACCTGCTCCACCTTGGCAACCTGACCCACCTGTTCTTCAAGGCTCTCAGGAATGCACATGCCAGTAGCTAATACTGTCCTCACCTTTCACTCACTTTGACAGACGCAGTGTTCCAGTTCTGGCACAAGCTCCAAAAGAACCTTTGCGGTTGTAACATGATGTAAAGAGTTAAAATTGCCACACATGGTGGCACCCACCTGTGATCCCAGCACTTGGGAGACTGAGGTAGGAGGATTGCTGCAAGTTCAAGGCCAGCCTGAACTACATAGTGAGACCCTGTTTCAATCAATCAATCAAACAATCAATCAATCAATCAAGAAAGAGTTAAAATTGAGTGAGGGAGGGGCTTTGAAAATGTGTTTGTGTTTCTCTAAGTCTTAGTAAATATAGTGTCCATCATATTCCATTACCAATTAGATATATCACATATTTAGGACTAATTCTTTTTCATAAAGATATGATAGAAAACTTGGCTAGGTTACTGACAAATCTATATCTTCCTACCCAAATCAGAGAATATTAAGCCCACTCATCCATAAACCAGGCACCATCATTCATTTGGTGGCCTGTACCTAACTTTATAAATACAATGGCTCACAGAAAGTAGTGAATTTTCATAAATTCATAATAAAAATGTCATAATAAATTTTTCATAAATTCCATAGAGCTAGCCTTGGTGAAATTACATCTGTAACATGATTACACACAACCACTTTGAAGTGGGAACCAGCAACCAATACAATGATGTAAAGAGTTTGATTATAAAGATAGAAATAGTTACAAGAATAAGTGGTGGCCGGGGATTTAGCGCAAGGACCCGAGTTCGATCCCTGGTACCAAAAAAAAAAAGAATAAGTGGTCACCGAAAGGATGTCCTTTGGTACAAGTTGTATACAAAACACAAATTTGTTGAAAAATTAATATTTATATAGTCCTTAAACAATATCCTTTTCACTCTAGGTTAGCACATTTAAAAAGAGGCATAATTAGGGGTCTGCCAGATTGTTCCCATTATATCACACTGCCTCACTTAGGATTAGTACACGGGCAACATTTAAGCGTGGAGAGCCTGACTAGGTAGGCTTGTGGAGTCTTGTCCATATCAATCTTCAAGAGGAGCATGCCTTATATAATTTTAACCAGTCTGCTTAGACACAATAACCTTTTGAGATTCTTCTCTACGTTTTGGATTTCAATTACGATCAACTTACTTCTCAGGAAGTTTATGACAGGCTATCCACACCACCTGTGCACACTGACTCAGGTGGCCTGATTAGAAGTCAGCATTGTTTAAGTGACAATGTCGGGAATTGTCCCACTCGGTCTTCCGTCGGCCAGGGCCTCGATTCCCAACCTTAGGCGAGGCTAAGTTTGTAATGGTCTTCGGGCTCCTCCTGTCCCCGGCGCCCCGCCCCGAGCAGTCCGGCGCGTTTCCTCCGTGTGGGGTCAGGGCGGCCGCGCAGAGCCGGGTCCTCGCGCCCCAGCCCGGTCCCTGTCTCTACGCGAGTGTGTGGTGGCAAGCAAAGGCAGACCTAGGCTTTCGCCTTCCCCACAGGGTTTTGTTGCTTGGTTTTTTTGGTCGGAGACAGCCACCCCATATGTTTTCCGCAGAAACATCGGTGATAACCTGACGAGATCTGCAGTTCTCCTGGGCCTGCGACCACCCTCCAGGCCAGAGCCCTAAACCGGCGCAAGGGTGGTGCGTGGCCTTGGAGAAAAAAGCGCGGGCAGCAGCAGGGGCGAGCGCCGAGGTAGGGGGCGGGGCGCGCCGCCAGCCCGGAGGGCGTGGTTAAGGTCTGAGGGTTGACGTGAGCAGAAAACAACCAGGACCCGCTGTCAACTGCCAAGAAATGTCTCTAGGCCACCAACGTATTAGCAGACACGTTTAGATTCCATTTCTAATTGTAAAATGTGTAATAATATAACCCAGAGTAGGGTCCTTGACCCCAGTTGTTCCTCAAACCCATTACTGAAGCACAGAGCACTCATCTTTAGAGCGGGTTGATTTCCTAACTTTTAGTTTAGTTTGTTTTGTTTTGTTTGACTCTGACCCTGGTCCAGTTCTCTTTTCCAAACACCTGATGTTTCTAGAGGCCGCTAAGGCACCTTTCTTTGCACACTATACACTAAGCCTATGTAATACAGTCAACAACAAAGTCTCATGAAATTAAAAGCTATGTTTTTTTTATTGCCACAGTATAATCATCTTATTAAGAATGTAACATACATAATAGTTTTTAGAGAAAATACAGAACAGGATATATTACAATCCTAAATTTATAAGAGAGAGAAAAAAATACATGTGTAACCCAAAGCATAGGAATAGACAAATCCAAAAGAATGAAGTTAGGCCTTTAACCTATACCGTATACAAAAATTAACCCCAAAATGGATCAAATACATAAATGTAAGAGCTAAAAAATATAAAGACTCTTAGGAGAGAACATGAAGAAAATCTTTATGCAGTGGATTTGGTGAGGATATTTTGGCCATGACAGAAAAATACAGGCAACAACAACAAAAAAAAAGTAGAAGGAATTGTACTGCATCACAATTAAAACCTTAGCTGGGCATGGTGCTGGGGAGTTCCAGACCAACCTGGGCACCACAGTGACCGTATCTAAAAAAAATCAAAACATTAGTTTTGAGAATGCACATGAGTCGGGCCAGGGATTTAGCTCAGTGGTTGTGCCACCTGCCTTGCAAGTGCAAGGTCCCGAGTTCAATCCCCAGTACAGAAAAAAAAAAAAAAAAAAAATTGTAGAGAATGCACATGAGTTGTAGAGTCCTTACCTAGCATGTACAAGGCCATCGGCTTGATCCCCAGCACCACAAAAAATAAAAATTAATAAAATGTTTTGTTTTATACCTAAAATGTACCAATAAACTTAATGGGGAATAAAATAATAAAATGTTTTGTGCATCAAGGGATATTATCAAGTGAGTGAAAATATAGTCCACAGAATGGAAGAAAATATTTGCAAATCACATATCTGATAAGGGATAAAAATTCTATAACTCAGGTCAGGGATGTAGCTCCTGCCTGGCAAGTGAGAGGCCCTGGGTTCAATTCTGGGTACCAAAAAAGAAAAGTGAAAATAAAAATAAAAATTCTACAACTTAACAATAACAACAAAACCTAAGCAACCAAATTCCAAAGTAAGCAAAGTTCTTGAACAGATACTTCTCCAAATAAGATATACAAATGACCAATAAGCACATGAAAAGATGCTCACCATCACTGGTCACTAGGGAAATGCAAACCCAAACCCAGGCCTCTACTCTTATTAGAGGACCACAGTGACATTTCAGATCCCCTGAAATTAGCGTTAGTTCAGAACCAGTGTCCAGTAGTCCCCGAAATGTCTGATCATTTGCCTTCTCTTTTCTTTTGAGAACACGCCCACATTCTTGAATCTAATGTTCTTCCCACTCTCACCTAGAAAAAATTTCCCCTCTACTTGACTCCCTCTGTTTCCTTCTCTGATCCTGCACATGGCCTGCTGAGTAGCACTGGAGAAAAGGCCATAACTGTGAGAATTCATTCCATGGTGATCCTTGCTCGCCAATCCTCAGGAGCAGGGGCTTCAGTGCTGCCTGCCAGTCTTACTTCTGTTTCCCTATTTTTAATCTCTTACAATATTCTCATAGTAGCCACATTAGACATTTTCTATTTAACTTCCTCAATTCAACTACTTCTGTATACAGATTGTCCAAGACTTGTGATGGTTCAACTAGATTTTTCAACTTTTAGGGTGTGAAAACAATGATATTCAGTAGAAACTATAGTTGGAATTTTGACCTCTTCCTAAGCTGGTCATCCACAGTCCATACTCCCTTGGAATGGTGATGGGCAGCACAGACATCTGCAGAACCCAGCCAGCCCCTGATGGCAGGGGGAAATGACCAAGACCCCATGGTGAACTGCATGGCCGGCATTTTTGGATATAGCTATTCAATAAATTACAGGAGAAATTCAGCACTTTATTATGAAATAGGCTTTGTGTTAGATGATTTTGCCCAATTATAGGCTAATGTCAGTGTTCAAGGTACAAATGTACACTGGGAGACAAGGCTAGGTTAAATGGATTGAATGCATTTTGACACAATATTCCAACTTATGAAGGGTTTATCAGGATGAAACCCCATTTTAAATCAAGGGGCATCTGTACATAATTTTACTACTCCCCACCCCAAGCAACATCTTTCTTTCTATTTAATGGTTATTGAAGTTCTAGAACCCATTTTACCCTTCTTTGTTCCCTTGATTATTTTTTTTATCATCCTCTCCCAATTATTACCATTTTAGCCTAAACCAAAAAGCAGAAACTAAAAATATTCAAATACTCTTTGGCCTTTCATCTCTTTTAGCTACTGTCCTGTTCTTCGTCTCATCTAACCTTCTTGAGTTATATTTGTGTGTGTGTGTGTGTGTGTGTGTGTGTGTGGGTTCACACTTGCACATGCTAGGAGTTGAATCCAGGGCCTCATGTACTCAACGAACACACTCCATTGCGGAGGTACACTTCCAGCCCTGAGAAAGTTGTACCTACTCACTGTCTACACTTCTTCATTTCCCACTCATTTTGTTTGTTTGTTTTTTGAGACAAGGTCTCCCTACGAAGTTCAGAGTGGTTTTAAACTCACTATGTAGCCCAAGCTGGCCTTGAATTCAAGGCAATCCTCCTGCCTCAGCCTCCTGAATGCTGGAACTAGAGGCATGCACCACCATGCCTGGCTCCACTCATTCTTTGGCCCCCTGCAAACTATCTGGCCACTAATATTTCTCTAAAACTACTGTTGGAAAGGCCACTAATGATGTTCTTCTGCCAAAATTCTGATAAACACTGTTTGGAAAATGAGATAAAGTTCATATACCATAGCCAGAGTTGGGTGGTGCACACCTACAATCCCAGCACTCTTAGAGGCTGAAGCAACGAGGTTGCAAGTTTGAGCCCAGTGTGGGCAGTTTAATAACTTAGCAAGATCCCATCTCAAAATAAAAAAAACAAGAATAAGCTGAGGATGTAACTCATTGAAAAAGCCCTGGGTCTGGTCCTTAATACTCCAGGGGAAGAAAAATCACATACCATAAAATTTAACTTTTAAAGTGTACAATATCCTTTAGTATATTCATTAACTTATGTAAATATCACCACTATCTAATTACAAAACATTCTCTTCACTCCTATGCTCATTAGCAGTTGTTACCAATTCCCCTTTCCTGCCGCTTGAGATCACCAGTCTGTTTTCCACCTCTATGGATTTTCCTCTTGTGGATATTTAATATGAATGTGACCTTTTAGGACTGGCTTCTTTCATTTAGGCTAATGTTTTCAAGGTTCATTCATGTTGGTTATGGCTTGTGTCAGGTTTGCACATTTGTACAACTGAAATGTACTACTATAATTCCTTCTTCATAGTCTCAGCAGTTCCAGCATTACTTAAAAGTTCCAGTCCAAAGTCTCTTCTGAAACTTAAGGCAGCTCTTAGCTATGAGCCCTTATTAAAAAAAAAAAAAAAAGTTAAATAATGTCAAGATTCAGTGGCACAGGATAAACATTCCCATTATAAAAGGGAGGAATAGGGGAATACAAATGAATCAGACCAAAGCAAAACCAAATCCCAGCAGGGCAAACATTAAATCCTGTAGCTCCATGACCTGAATCTAGGGCACATGGTGTCATGATGTGAGTTCCAAGGGGCTTGTATAGCCATGTTCCTTTGTCCTTGCCAACTGCAGCCCACCTGACCTTCCCTTGAGCCAAGTCTTTTTTTTTTTTTTTTTTTTTTTTTGTGGTAGCACATGCCTGTAATCCCAGCACTCAGGAAGCTGAGACAGGAAGATAATCTCGAGTTTGAGGGAAGCCTGGGCTACATAGTGAATTCAAGGCCAGTCTGAACTATATAGCAAGACCCTTTCTCAAAACAAAAACAAACAAAAAAATGGTCTGGAGAGCTGGGGGCAGAGTAGACTGGGGACCCCTTGGCAGCCCACTAGAAGATAGCCCCTCACACAAAGATAGCTGTTTTCCTCCCAAGGATAAAACTTTTCAAACAGCGCTGAGACTTTCCTCAGCAGATGTTTCACATTGCTAACATCTCCAACTTCCTAGGGTCTCCACTGCAGCTTTGGATTCACTCCCTCAGCTTCATGCATTGACCTCTCAGAGGCTCTGGGCAGGGGCTCCAGCCTTTTTACATATTGTGTGGCCTTCCAGTCCTTTTGAAGTCTGGGTGGAAGCCTCTATGACCACACAGCCCTTGTCTTTTACATGCCTATAGAACCAGCCTCGCATGAACAATGCCAAGATATGCCATCAGAGCAAGCATTAGCCAGGCCTCTGTGGACCACAGCTGCAGTGGACTCTTACGTGCCTTAATGGTTGAATATAAGGAAACAGTTTCCTAGGCAGCCTAGAGTAAGCAGGGTACTCTGGAGCTCTCTTCTCAAAGCAAAGTCATTTCAACAACTTTACACTTTTACACCTTCTACCCTGAGGTCTTGCTGATTTCTAGGATGCTCTCAAGACATCTTCCTGTCCCAGTTCAAAGTATTTGGTTTCTTTTTAATGGCACTAATTTCTTCAGCAACCATACCTCCTTTAACCCCAACTTTACATGTTTCTTTTCTGGCCAAACTGAGAGCTTTTCAAATCTTTCTGCTCTGCTTTTTGATACTGATTCTCACTGAAAATCTGGCTAAAAGCAGCTAGCAATACCCATAGCATGGCCTGAATAT